ACTCAATATTCACTCACCAAGCCCAAATCCTATGTTTTTAGGGAGTCACTCACTAGTCAGGCCCTTGGGGTCTTCCTGCTGTCTCCTTCACTCTAAGGCTCCTCAACTAACTGGCTGCCATGTCTGGTTGACGCTAGCTCATAGGCACTTCTTAAATTTGATCCTTCTCTGCCCCCGCTGCCAGCCCAGACCTTTTCCGCCTCTTCCCTTCCTGGTTGGCCTTCCTGACGCCAGTCTCTCCCTCCTCTGTCCTTCCTCTATGATGCTCCCAAAATGGTATTTCTAAAGAGCACTTTACTCCCCAGCTCCAAGTCTTTGTTCATTCCTGTTGCTTAGAAGGTGAAAAATCAGTCTCCCTGGCCTGGCACAAAGTACACTCCCAATCCCATGACCGTCTACTCAAACCACACTGAAACTCTCAGCCACTCCTTTCACATTATCCCTCCGTCTCTGTCAACTAGCACAGCACTTTTCCCTTTTATGTGACCAGAAACCCTTATTCGTTTTTTGAGAGCCATCTTAAAGGTCAATACCTCTCATGAAGTATTTCTGAGATTCTCCAAAGACTTCTACCTCTGTCCTCTCAATAATGTTTTGTTTAAACCAATGTATTTATAATGCACCTCACCTTATAGCAGTCATTTTTGTCTTTCTTCCTCATTTAACCATGAGCTGTACAAGGATAAGAGCTGTCTTGGGTTGCCTAAATAATCCCAGAACTTGAATATCAGAGACACTCTATGAATAGAATATGAAGGCTAAGCCTGATATGGGTAAATATCTTTAAAATGGACCAAGGAGAGGAGAAAGTAAAGTAAAGGAAGAACTAGTGGGTTTGGGGGAACACTTACTTTTATATACCAAAGGCAGAGATTCAAACTGAATGATGCCCAGTCAATTCTTGAAACCCCAATACCTTCCATTCTTGCACAAAATAACAGCAGTAAATTGTAAGCAGTAAGATTTTTTAATGCATTAGGTACTGTGTTAAATGCATTCTATGAAATGTATCATTGGCACCTCAAAGAATCCTATGCTACCCTAATTTACAGCCGAGGAAACTGATTCCTGACTGGCTGGCCCTGGGTAACAGAGTCAATATGAGGTAGAACCATAGTTTGTTTGTAGATAAATCTGATATCAGACTCCACAAACTTAGTGAGTTTCTTAGTCCAGTGATCTAGTTCAGCTCCTTGATTTTACAGAAACTGAAAGGTAATCTCTAAAGCAGTGATGGTAAACCTGTAGCCCTTTCGAGGAGACAAACAGGCAATGGAATTCATGAATCCCAGTATTTAAATGAATAGCTTTAAAGACAGCAAAATTCTAGAGTTGTTGTTGTCTTAAAGCTATTCATAAAAGAATGGAGTTCACATTAGCCTGGAGCTCTTCACTCAATCCCTAGAAGCCAGCAGACAGTGAGTAGAAACACACAGATCACTGAAAGAGAAGATTTCAGCCCAAGAATCAAAGTCCCAGAAAAGACAACAGGTACCATCAGGGCAAAAGAGAGCTGTGCCTGACTAGGCCGAGACTCAGGGAGTTAAAGGAGCCCTGGAGGAGGGATGGCCAGCCACTGGCTCAGAACAGAGGCCACAGAACAGCTGTGTGTGTCCAGAACGATGCTGTCACTAACAGATGTCACTGCATGTAGGTGTGAAAAAATGATTCTTGAAATAGAAATGTGAGAGGAAACCTAGCCATGGCCTGCAGTTGTGACTTTTAAATTAAGCAAAGCCCCCATGCATGAGACAGGGCTGCATTATAGTGGACAGTGTGAAAGTGGCAAGGGAAGGACATCTTCGAGTTCTGATGTCAGGGACAGTGGGTTCAGAAGATCAGACAAGGCATAAATAGCCAGTCGGCTAAGATCCCCTGACCATGACTACCACTTCGTAAATTAAGACTCGCCGTCCACCTTCCAAATACACCAAAGGCAAAGGGGGGAGTTTGAACAAACCCCTCTACCAACAAAAATAAAGGAGAAACTGATTTCACAGCAAAGGAAAATAAGTAGCAAACAAGCCCAATCTGAACGAATGAAAACAAGTAGCCTATCATGTTGAACAAGAATGACTACATTCATCTATCAAAAGAAAAGACTGGAATTTGTTTTAAAATTGTGCATGAATACTGGAAGGGCTGCTTCCAAAAGAAGACATTCCGACAGCATCCTGGGAGACTGGGAGGGGCTGAAAAGTCAGCACACCTCTGTCAGCCACTCTCTGAGCTCTTGCAGGGAGGGTCAGTGGTGGAACTCAGGGGTCACAGGGCACAGCCCCAGCTTTCTGACGGAACGCTTCATAAGGCGAATGGATCTGTTAGGCATCACCTGCCATCAGCCATTCGTTCCTACCAGGCTGCATCCCAGGACCACGTGCAGGGTGATCTTTCTAAACCAGAATTCAATGGGTCACCTGCGTGGTCCCCACTGCCCATAAACCCTAGAGAAAGGGTGTGCTAAATGCAGTTAGAAGTTCTTATTTTTTTCCAGAGACTTCCGGAAGAAAGACCCTCCTACTGTTCCAGAATCAATAAAAGAACAAGCCTTGGTGAAATTTTACATTGAGACCCATCAAAGAAATCAAAGAAAGACTAGGACTCTGCAAGATTTACAACCTTCTTAGCTCACTAACTAAATAACAACATTGATCAAACTTGCTCTCCCTCGAGATTTGTGCTGTATCTCTGCTACTTCAACAGTGTCGAACGAATGTAAAAGTTGGAGTCGGACATATCAGGGCTCTGATCTTGGTCCTAGTGTTAATTATTGTGTAACAAACCACTTAGCCTGTCTTGGTCTGCCATTCTTTCTTCATCACTGAGTGAAGGTGACATATCTTTGCCTTTGGGTAGGGAGAAAATCCATAGACATTGAAAAGACTGAAACTTTATTCAAACTCTACTCTTTGCTTTTGCTTTTAAAAGGATAGTGTTTGAAGACACGTGTCATGGTGGGATTCTGAATATGACAGTCATGACTGTATTTATGATGGCCATTTAGCCACGCATGCCTCAGCTTTGCTACCTGTCAGACTATGATTTTCTGTGTGATGAGAGTAAACACTGGGTTTATTCATTTGGAATCTAAAGTGCGTATTATTCCAGAAGTACAATTAATTCATCAGTGTAGTCTGGTAAGTTATAATGATCCCACCTAAGGCTGGATCAATTCTTCCTTGGAAAGAACAGCAGTGCGAATTTATATCTCTTGGAGCACAGTAGTAGAATTTCCAGCCCAAGTGCCCAGGCTGTTACCATCGTGACAGTGGCACAAATGAGTTTGACATGTTGTAATGACTTGCACAGATGCTCTTGAAAAAAATCCAAAATCTTTGTTTCTAAATAATAAAAGATAATTCGTATTTGGTTCTGAAATTTTGGGGTACATAAAGTGATTGCCTCACTGCTCTGTACATTCACAGCTTCAGATGAAGTAATATATGGTGAAGGGTTCATGGTCCCAGGGTCTGAAGAGCCAGGCCTTGGTTTTCCTTTCCAGCCTCGTCCTGCACCATCCCCACCCTCTTCCCACGCTGACCTCAGGAGCATCTCCTCTGCCAGCTCCCGACCTAACCTTCCTCCCTCCAGACACAGGTCCTCGCTTTCTCCACGTTGCAGAACTCTCTTCCCCACCTCCCCACTATTCTTGCATTGATTACTACTTGTCCTTCAAATCTCAATTCCAGAACAGTTCTTCAGAAAAGATTTCGGTAACCCTCGCTCCCCAGCCCCACTCCATCCCACCCAATCTAGTCCTGCTCCTTGTTACTTCCTTCTAGAGCTGAACATCACCTGAAATCATCCTTAATTCATGAGTCTGTTTCATAAATTCCTCTCCCTAGTATTCAGTTGTTTCAAGAGAACAAGCCATGACCTTGCTGGGCCCATCACTGTAGACCTGGCAGCCAGCACATGGGCAAGTCCAGTCCTGCATGGTGAATGGATGAATGAACTGGTGGATGAATGAATGATTGTTAATTCCAGGGCTTTTCACATGTCATTTATGCTGCAAAAGATGTTCACAAGGTTGTAGAAAAGGCATAAACAACCACTTAGCCCCAGACTACTCTTGGGCTTTGTTACAACTGGATCCTAATTCTTCACCTCTAAGAAGCATTTGGGACAGCACAAGAACAAACACTGGACCAGTCCAGCTTTGGTTCTGAAATTTTTTTGGAGACAAAAGTAAGGTCTGTTTCTTTGAACCACTGAAAATGATTTTCTAGACAAGATCATACCTACTAAAAGCTCTGCCCTCACATTTTCTGTTAATAGAGCACCCTCACTTACTATAATTTCACTTTTCTTTTTCCAACTTCAAGAACAGGGTCCAGAGTCAGAACAAAAAGTAACACAAAATGTGTGGAGTAAAAACCAGTAGAAGCAAGTATATTAACATATATTATAGATAGGATTGTTTACTTGTTCATAAAGAATCTGATATAGACCATCCACGAGAAAATACTTTTCCATGACTTTTAATGTCTTGAGGGGCAGGAGAATATTTTTAATCTTCCATTCCTCCTGATACACAGTCAATAAAAAAATCCATGACAACCATGGACCATCTAGACAAGATGAAAATCAAAATCCTTTCTGAAAACCTTCCTTTTTATTTTCTAACCTAGAAGATTTCGTAGCCCAAGTGCCAGAGTCATTTAATTTTCATTCTGTTGACACAGTCGTTTTGCCTGTTATCTTTCTTCCAGAACAGTAAGCTATTCTTCTACTTTATCTGCTGACACACAACTCCACATGGGTAATTTAAAAATTCAGAGGCCTCTTGAAACTTTTTTTTTTTTTCATTTTAAAGCACAGCGTCAAAGGCAACAATTCAACAGAGGACACTCTGTCTTAGCCATGTGCTTGGGTTGTCCTGAAAGGGTTCCTCCCTAAACAAAATCACTTTCTATTTAGTGACTAGTTTTTCTACTTTTGTTTTTTCTTAATGCTCTCTTGAGGTTTAACTCAATAAGAAACACTCCATAGGGACTCACCTGTGAGAACTTTAACTTGGAAGCAGAAGACAAAGACGTACCAGAGACGAGACTTCATGTTTTCCAGAAGCAACTGCAGCCCTTGCCGTCGGCATTCAAAACTGACAGAGACTGCGAGCTCACAGTTGTTTCTTATTTGCTCAAGAGGATGTGGGTTTTGTGGCAGTGGCTAAGTGTCACACTTGCCAAGGAGGAGTCTCTTCAGGGATCTCAATGGCCAAGTGGGGAACACAGTACAACTGGTTATGGCAGTAAAACACGTTATCCACAGATTATGGGTGATTGTGAAGACAGGAAAATGTCACCCTTATCCTGTTTCCAATGAAACAAATTCAAGAGACAAAGCCTCTCTTTTTCAGAGCCACTTCATTCGGAAGGGTTACCGATGTCAGTTATTGCTGACATCAACATCAACAAATGCCCATTTGATGACCAAGATGCAAAATTTTGACACATTTCAATCTCAGGCTACTTGCTCCAGATATGAGAAAGCCTTTGAAATACAAGGAAAACTAAGTGAAATTATTGCAGAAGTTGATACAAAAGCTACCTGAGAGAGGCGCATCAGGAGAACCTGAGAAATAGCATTTACACAGCACTCTCTCTCTCTGTAGACTGAAATTTTCCTAGTGATACCATCAGGTTAACACTAACTGAACATCTGCTCTTCCTCTTACAGGAGAACATTGCACCTGTAGGCTCATGGGAAAGCTGCAAAGTCACAAAGCCTGTGATTTTCCTTCAGTCCTTGCAGGGAGATATGTAGAAAAATAACATCAATAAGAACATAGCTATATCTACATGACTTAAGTGTTTTCCATGAAATACATCTTCATGCAAAACCTATATAAAATTAAATGCAAAATGATACAAGTACATAATTTAATATGTATAAAATATATTCTGGGTATAATTAATATTCTTAATATGTAGCCTAGTTAGCATGGTTAATATTCATATTATGCTTTATATGCATGTCAACCATTATTACTCGGTCATATATTTGTGTATTTATATTCTGTGTCCATCTTAAAAGTCCAGGTCAGTGCTTGGATTTGAATATTGTGGCGCCAAAGTTTTAACTCGCACCCCAGCGGAGCTGTTCATGCCCCGGCTGCAGGTCCTGCCGCCCAGAGGTCAAGCCGGCTTCCAGCGTGCGGGGTCTGGGCTGCGGCCTGCAGAGACAACCTGGCTGGGGGAAACATCAAAGGCCTTGGCATCGCGGCGTAGGCCACGATGTGCAGGCCCAGAAGCTGGTGCAGGTCAGGCCTACCGCATCAGGGTTACGGATGCGGGGTGGGGGGTGGGGTGAAAGGCAGGAGGAAGCTTTTCCTGCGATTCAGAGCCACTGTGGCTTCCTGAGTGTGTTTCACGTGGCACCTGAGTCCCAGGGGTCGGAAGAGCCCTGCCGCGGAGGCAGAGCTGGCTGAGCGCAGCCTGGGCCGCAGGATCCCCGGCTGCTGAGTCCCCTTCTCCCCCCTCCTCTTCTTCCCTCTGCAGGGTCCTTTCCTGGCGCTGATATGGGGAAGGGAATTCAATCCCACCTGGATGCTGAGCTCAGGAGCTCAGGAAGTGGAGCCACCCAGCCCGAATTCTAGCACATCTTGCATTTCCCTGGGGTGCTGGGGGCGCATTGCAGGGTGCCACCAGCGTTCCCTGAGCATGCGCACTGTGTTCCATTTCGGTCCCACGGCCGCGTGCCGGGGCTTCTCATTATTAGTCCCTCGTTGCAGACGAGGAAAGTGACAGAGAACAGAAGGAATTGGCCCAGGGTCACAGGGCCAACGAGTGGGATAGAGCGGGTGACCCCATGCCATGACCCTGCTATCGTTGGGCCCTTTGTCGTCTGACCGGAAACTGCTCCTAACCTCACTGCTTTGACCCCAGAGTGCAAGTGCAAGTCATGGTTGCACTTGACTTCGGCTTGGGTGGCTGTGTGAGCTCCTGTGTGATAGGAATCTTCCCTCTGCCCGATCGCTGTGCTTCCTGGTTTGGGGGAGATTCAATGATAAGTGCAGGACTCGCTTCTTTGTAAGTGGTGTTTTATGTCAAAATCCCCCTACCGTGACCCTTCCCGTACCTCGCCTTCTCAAAAATCTCGGCTAAGAAAACAATTGCTTGTGGTTTTAAATTTTCAGAATTGCTTTTCTTATGGCTGGAAAATAAACTGGGCAAAAATTTCCATTCACTTAACAGGAAGTGCTTTTTGTTTGCTTTTGTTTTACTTTATCTTTTTTTTTTTCTTTTTCATTTTTCATTCCATGACTTAAGAAAGTTTTGATTTGTGTGTGCAGCTGCCTGGGCTAAGGGTGGGGAATGGAAAGTTTGCTACATTAAAGGTGGCATGTTTGCTATTTCTTGCCTCCTGGGGCACTGGAGTTTCTAATGCAGCAGGATTGCTGTCCTGCCTTGCTTAAGATCTATTGCAAGCTTAAGATCTACCTGCATGAGTGCAGGAACTAACACGGCAGGGCCACTGAGCCCAAATAGTGGCCTTAAAAGCCCCTCCAAAAGTGCCAGTGCTTCTCCATTCTGAAAGCAGTAAACACAGGAAGAGTAGCATCCTTATCGATCAAAATGGGTTTACTCCTAAGTGGTGGTGCAAGCCTGTCATCTCACCACTCTGAGAGGCTGAAGCAAAACAATCACAAATTGAGGCCCAGACAGGATAATTTAGAGCCTACGTGAGACCTTGTCTCAAAATTTATAAAAGAAAAAGGGCTCGGGATGTTGCTCACTGCGGAGGCCCTGGGTTGCCACTACTGCCTTGCCCACCTGGAGCAGCACCATTCAAGCCTGTTCCTTCTCCCAGTTATTCCCAAGCGGCCTTAACTATCCCATTTCCTAGCTCGCTCCCAAGAATGCTTCCTTCTCTCTTGTGTGGGTCGCTACCTTTGATCAGCCTCCAGCCTCGCTCTCCCGGTCCAGCCATCTTGTTGTGTGTAAGTCTAAGCCACCTCTGCGCCCCTGCTGTGCGCCAACGACTAACTTCCTGTGGGTCTTTCAATGAGAATCAAGCTCCTGACAAGACAGGCTTCTGATCCAGTGCACCTCCTCTCTTGCTGCATTGACTTGTCTTCAAGTCTTCAATCAAATTCAGTGACATGGAATTCTCCAAACTCCCCAAGCTGCCTCTTTGTCCTGTTGCCAGAAGCCCTCTATTTGTCCCTACTTTTTGTCCTTCTCCCCCTTGACCTCCAATCTGCTGCAGAAATCCCAATGCTCTTTAGGCCTCTGTTTACACACACAGCAGTTCGTTGATGAAGACTTGGCCAATCCGTTTTATCCACCACTAAGCCCACCTATGATCAGATGCATTTGATGACTGATCTCCCAATGCCCCTCTGTGTCCTCTGTCCCAGGACTCATCATGTGCCCTTAATGGACTGCTTTCTTTTAGCGACATAAATAGAAAAAAGTCTCCTCCAAGAGAATCTCCAAGGAATAAGGACATTTATTACTATTGCAAAGCGTTGCCATAGTGAGCTCTGAACCTATTCAAAGCAGTTGTCGGCGAAAGGAAGTTTTAAGGACAAAAGTAATCAAGATTCCTATCAGATGTGTTGAAACTGTAATCCTTGGCCACAATGACAAATAGCAAAAGTGGCACCCGTCTGAGGTTGAACAGACAGTTGGGCAGATAGGCTAGCAGAAATAATTCTGTACAAAACTGTGGCAGCATCTTGCAAGTCTGAGGCTCTTCCCAAGTCTTTGGTGATAGTTACTCTAAGGCAGACACATACAAGAATCCTTCCTTGCTGGGTTTAATAGCACACTCCTGTAATCCCAGCACTTAGGAGGCTGAGACAGAAGGATCACCATGAGTTCAAGGCCAGCCTAAACTACAGAGCGAGACTCTGGCTCAAAAAGAATCCTCCCTTTATCAATTTTATTGACTCTTCTGGATAGAATTGGTACAGATGACTCTGTTTTCATTCTGACAACTTTTATATTCCTTTCACACTTTCCTGCAGCCTCTACTGGATGGTGAGCAGTGTCATAGCAAGGTTTTTCCAGGTGTTCTTTGCAGCCATTTATGCATGCCTAACACAGTGCCTGGGATACAGTGAATACCCCGTAGCAGTCCACTGAATGGATGTTTAAAGAATCTCTGACTGCTGAAGGAGTGATACTGCCTCACAAATGCTCACCAATGACCACTTTGTTTTTTGAATTATAAAATGAGTGCAGAAAATGATCAGAGTGTGTGTTTGATTCCAAAATTAATTCAATGAACATAATAATTTATCATCTTGACTCAGCTACAATCTGATCATTTGCCCATCCTTAATCATCAAAGAAAAGAACATTCAATTTAACAGCCAAATATTTTCTCAAAGTTATTAAGTAACTCATAAAGCCCAGAAAAATAACTACACTTTTCCATATGAAGCTAGAAAGATAGCAGTGTAAGATGTGACATAAAAGCAAATGATAGATGTTTTCAACAAAGCTCAACTAAGTCTCCTCGGCCTTTATCCCAGGAAGGAGCCATTGCTCCAGCATCCGTCAGGTGGCTCTCTGGATCCATTGCCTCCGACCTCTCGCTGGTCCTTGCCCCTGACCCTGCCTCACTACACTGCAGCTCCTTCTCCTCTGTGTATAAACTGCCAGAATCTTCTCCGTCATTAACACAGCCTTCATGACACACCAGCTTCTTTAGGCTCTGCTCTCTCTTAACTTTTTAGTTCCAATAAATACTTTCTCTGATCACCATCGTGAACCTCTTCAAATCCTTTGACATTGTTTGATGTTATACTCACTTGGTCTTGAAATGCTACTATTATAGACATTCAAGCTAAGCAGAAATATTATAGGCGTCAGATAGAGCTAGGCCCTCAACAGAGCTTGGACAAAGGTGAGGCACATCTCAACTGTAGCCAGAGACACATGAGTTAGAGAGCAGGCCTCAAGATAAGATGAAGTCACCAGGCCTGTGTTCTTCCTTGAAGGACAAACTCCAGGCCTAATTAAGCCTAAAGAGACATCAGTCACCCCAGTGGGTGACCAAGACCTCCTGACACATCATTTCCTATAAAATTCTTTGTTCTTTCCATGCACCCTTGTTACATGACTTGTTTTCCCATTGGGTCACTGTTATCTAAACAA